AGGATTTTGTTCTTTGTGTTTTTCTGCAAAATCAAAACAGTTGTGACATGAATGTATTTATTTTTTTTAACTATTCACGCAACCATATTATTATACTATAAGTTGTCAAGGTCAAAGTATATTAATAAGTCGATTTATTTCTTAATGCTAAAGTCTAAATATAATCTGTCCCACTCCCACACTGGACAGCTTAAACAGATTAAATATAATAAGAATGGAACCATATTTTTTGCATGTTTATTAATTTGTTTATTGGTATAGGTACCTATTTAAAATGAACGACTGAGACTACTAATTTAAAAATATTTTATTTTTCTAACTTTCCAAAACAGAATTAAACAAGCTCTGTCTATTTTTTCTCTATATCAATGCGACAATGCATTTATTCGAATCATTATTTTTGAATACCTACACTTTAAGACCTTATTTTTAAATACTTAGAATTGTATACCACTTAAGAAATAAGTACATCTTATTTTCAAATGAGAACCACCATTTATTTAATTGCATATTGGTAATCAGATGGTTTAATTGAAAACATTTACGTATCTAAATCAAAATTCGAAAGAACTTTATGAACCAAGAATACAATAGACGTAATTCCTTAATAATGGTATTCTATGAAATATAAAATAGATGTTATATTAATTAGTCTATTTCCTAATACCTGTAGTCGGAAAATTTTTTTAAAAATTACTTAATTTTATTTCATTAATATTAATGAACTTAAGCTTCAAATTATCTTCTAAAGTATCTTAAATTATTTTTACACAGAGTTGAATAACACCGAAAATACTTTAATTTCGATTTATATGCATGATTTTTTTTTTCATTAAAAATTTACAAAAAAAAAGGGTGTTGAAGGATGATTAATCAACAATTATTTCGCCCACAGAATACCTAATCCTTAAATTGCATAAACAAATCCAATATTACGTTTGTGGAGTAGGGCTAATATACTTGTTAAATAAAGAACAATAAAGATTGATTTGAGGTAATTAAACATGAATATATATATATTAACACATAGAATAATTATTACCATCTGCAATGCTCACTACCAATGCAGTAAAGTAAATACAAAACAAATCATACAGTTTTACAGGGGCGGGAAACACCACACAGGAGAGCTAACTTGAATAGCGATGACTCGAGATGAGCTTCTGACTTGAGCTGATCTGCTTGGCGTTGTCCGTATGACAATCCAACAACCTCTCGTAAGTATGAGTTCAACGAGTTTGATTGAAAGGTGGACCAACGAGTGTAAGCATACAAGCGTAGTATGCGTACTTTGATTTGGTCCTAAACCGTTTGCTTTCGAGACAATTTAGCACTTAAATAGAGTAGAATAACCGAGAGCAATCCTTTCCAAGAGATATGGTGTATGTCAAAGGATTATTGTTAAACAACAAAGCATAAAACATGAGGGTGCGTGATTTGACGGTAGATCAAACCGCAACAAAAACACTGAATATGGTTGGCATACCTCTGAGCGCGAGCGAATACACCCACCCTTTTGAAGACAGCAACCACACGGCGTTCGAGTGCTGGACCCGCCAAGACCATCCAAGTGAATGATGTAGACACGGGACTTGGTGTTCAAGCACGGACACTCAATGGAGCGGTTGTTGACAACGGCCGAACATGGTGTTGGAGAACAGCGTAAACGAACGTTGTAGAAGAGCAAAGGGTCGGAACGGCATTCATACAACAAGAATTAAAAGGCCGTGGTGGCAGCTACCACAGCGTTGTTATTATTCATTAACTTCCTATATTATTATATGTTTAAAAATAAATAAGTAAATACATCAATACATAGGTATAATATCTACTAATCAAAACTATTTGAAACGTTAGGTACTAGGTAGGTAATACGTATAATGTAGGTATATACCTATAGGTATGTAACGTGCCAACTACTTCAACTCAATATTGATGGTATTTTGAATTAAAATAACAAGTTGTTGGTATAAATGATAGTTTATTTGTATTTATTTAACACGAAAATATTCTAAGTCCAATTAATTAAATTTTAAAATTATGGTAAAACGGGTTGTGACTTCGTATCGACTTGTGGCTGTCCTGCTATAGTGCTCGTCGTCTTGGCTGGTGTTCGTCTGATGGACACTAGTCCATCGACGTATTTCGTCGGTTTTCCTATTAGATCCCTCCTATGGCATTTTTAGTATAAAAAATGGTACATAGCTGCGTACACCTGACGTCATTTCGGCGTCCTCTACGAAATAATGTTAATTGGGATTATATGTTTTCAAAGTTATCTATTTTTGTTATTTACGGCTTTTTCGTCTTTCCTAGAACATGGATAATGCGCGCGTATACCTATTGCGCTGTACTATTAATTAGTTCTGTACTCTTATCGATGTGGCTGCCCGGACGCTTATATTATTACGAACGTTACCCCGGCCCCCCCCAATTCGATTTTTGCAATTCTTTTTGCGCCAATTTTTAGTGCTCAATTCCTGCCAATTCCTGCCGCAAACCCCGGAATTCCTGCTCTAACGGTTTTCCCGGAAAGTCGAATTTTCCACGGGTGGGGCTGGGGTAACGTTACTCCAGCCCCACCCACCTTCTAAATTTGACTTTTTGCAATTTTTTTTGCGCCAATTTTTAGTGCTCGATTCCTGCCAATTCCTGCCGCAAACCCCGGAATTCCTGCTCTAACGGTTTTCCCGGAAAGTCGAATTTTCCACGGGTGGGGCTGGGGTAACGTTACCCCAGCCCCACCCACCTTCAAAATTTGACTTTTTGCAATTTTTTTTGCGCCAATTTTTAGTGCTCGATTCCTGCCGATTTTTGCCGCAAACCACGGAATTCCTGCTCAAAAACCGCCTCCGTAAAAATTAAAAAACTATATTTGCGGCGGGGGGAAACGTTTTTCCAACCCCCCAAGGTCGGAATTCCACCTTTTTAACTTTTTCCAACGCCAATGTTTAGTGCTCAATTCCTGCCAATTCCTGCCGCAAACCCCGGAATTCCTGCTCTAACGGTTTTCCCGGAAAGTCGAATTTTCCACGGGTGGGGCTGGGGTAACGTTACTCCAGCCCCACCCACCTTCAAAATTTGACTTTTTGCAATTTTTTTTGCGCCAATTTTTAGTGCTCGATTCCTGCCGATTTTTGCCGCAAACCACGGAATTCCTGCTCAAAAACCGCCCCCGTAAAAATTAAAAAACTATATTTGTGGCGGGGGAAACGTTTTTCCAACCCCCCAAGGTCGGAATTCGACCTTTTTAACTTTTTCCAACGCCAATGTTTAGTGCTCAATGCCTGCCAATTCCTGCCGCAAACCCCGGAATTCCTGCTCAAAAACCGCCCCCGTAAAAATTAAAAAACTATATTTGCGGCGGGGGAAACGTTTTTCCAACCCCCCAAAGTCGGAATTCGACCTTTTTAACTTTTTCCAACGCCAATGTTTAGTGCTCAATGCCTGCCAATTCCTGCCGCAAACCCCGGAATTCCTGCTCAAAAACCGCCCCCGTAAAAATTAAAAAACTATATTTGCGGCGGGGGAAACGTTTTTCCAACCCCCCAAAGTCGGAATTCGACCTTTTTAACTTTTTCCAACGCCAGTGTTTAGTGCTCAATGCCTGCCAATTCCTGCCGCAAACCCCGGAATTCCTGCGCTAACGGTTTTCCCGGAAAGTCGAATTTTCCACGGGTGGGGCTGGGGTAACGTTACGCCAGCCCCACCCACCTTCAAAATTTGACTTTTTGCAATTTTCTTGCGCCAATATTTAGTACTCAAAACCATAATATATGACAATATTAAATATTATTGGCGTCATTTCACTTTTTGTTAGACTAGGGCAACAATGCAACATGTCACAGATTCGCCACTCAACATTTTTTTTACGTACATATTCCTATAGCATAATAATTCTTACTTGTATAAAGTACCCACTTTGCAGAGAGGCATTGGTTAAAATAAAAATACTATCCTATTGATACGTAGCTTAAGTCAGATTGATAATTATGCCTTACATATTATAATAAAATAATTTAAAAGGAAATTTATATTCTATAGATTAGTTTTTTTCAACTGTATTCTTCATCTAATTTATTTTCAAAGTCCAATATGTCAAAAATACAACCGGGTTCTTATTATTTTGGAAATTTAGAAAATGTAGAATGTAGATATTTTAGTGTAAAAAACATTTAATCCATAAGTCATAGTCATTATAGTATTATACTACAATTTTCAGTATTTAGTTGTATTATTGGTGCATTTCCATATCTAGGTAAGTTTTGATTTTAAAAAATATTAAAAATGTATAATATTGTTATATTGTAAATTAAGTATTGTTCTTTTACATAATGATTTTTATACTAAAAGTAGGCAATTGACCTAATTTATATTAGTTAATAAATAATAAATTTATGTTATTTTCATCAATATTATTTTTTCTAAACCTGAAACTTAAAAATATTGACCACAGATTTTATCATTAAATACACCATTAATAAGTTTTTCTAAAACTATTACTTGATCAGTTTAAAATTTTAAATGTTTGATTTTTAATTTTAAATCGTTTAAATTATTTGTGGTAAATATGTACTTTATTGGTCCAGTACTTATTTTGTGAACGGATTTTTAAATGGTTGGTCCTAACAATACTGTGCGACTGTGCTTTTTAAAAAAAAAATATATAAAATACTAATTCTAGTCATCTCCTTGAAATGGGAGTATTTTTTTCATTTTCCTCGTTTGTTAAAAAGTTAAGATCCAACACTGCCCACTGTCCTTCTACAGTAAAAAAAATCTGCAAAGCGCAATAGCTATATATCTCCCACCTAAGAAAATTCACCCAGTTTCTATTTTAAAAAAAACTTAAAAAAAACACTTGTCTTTTAAAAATTCAAGAATTTTGAATATAACTAAATATAACTATACAAAAATAATAAAATAATATAAAAAAAAACAAACTCAACTTTATTAAAATAAAAAATTCTTTCGCTGAATAATTAAAATAATAATATTCTTTAAACAGAATAAAACAAAAATTCGACCGGAACTATTGTCTGCTCTTTCACTTGGACAGGAAGTTTCTTGAGGTCATCATAAAGCTCCCAATTTTTAGATCCTCTTTTTGTGTATGCTGTATAGTGCCCAACAGAATTTCTCAACGAACTTTTAGGGCGTTGAAAAGCTAAAGCACCTCTTAGTTCATATACTGTGGATTTTACTGTTATTAATTCCGGTATGTCACACAGCTTTATCTTAAAAATGGTTGCTGCCTCACTACTGCGTTGGCTGGAAATGGCTTCTTCACCTATTTACATATTTTAATACATAAATAAAACAATTATTTAACATATATGTCAATCAAATATTAAATTGTTATAAAAATATATATATATTATTTACCTTCCCAAATAAGAATATCAATAAATATATGCATTTCCGAAATGTCAGTAGTGACTGTCTTAAGACCTTTGCAATCATTATGGCCACAAATTAAAAAGTCTTTTTCTGAACGCTCATCAAAGAAATTTTGTAATTTAGAAATATTATCGTTATCATTAATTTGGAATGTGAAATGCATAATTTTTCGTTCATTGATATTTTTACCACTGGACAGTTAGAAATTTCTTTTGCTGATGGATACTTCTCCATCAAAGAGTCAATTACATGGCCAATAGTAGATGCACATACAACTAATGTAGTGGCATATTCCATTTCTTTTATTTCAACAGTCAAATTGTTTATAATTAAATCAGCTCTATGTGAATATGATGCAGATGTTATCCCAGAATTCAAAATTTTACAAATAAAGTTTATAAAATCTGATTTTTCAGAAATATCCAACATTTCTGAATATTTTTGACTGTCACAATATGATACCTAAATTAAAAAAAAAATTAAAATTTTATTTGATATATTAATTCTAATAAAGTGTAGGTATTAATTTTTTTTGGTTAGGTATTATTATAGCCTAACTACATAATATGTAGTTTTATTTAAATAACTATTACCTATATAAACAATGTTAAACATATTATATACTTATTTTTAAAGTTTATTCTTAAATGTTGGGGTACATTTTGTTCGATATTTATATTACCAACTCATTATTATAAATTATAATATAATATATTTTAATAAATATGCACGATAAAATTATTTAATATTTTGAATCAAATATAAAATTACATACCATGATAAGTGACGCCAATGAGTCAAATGCGCACGTGTTATTAAATATAACTCTCCCTTCAAATGCATTTGTTCTGCATCCTTTCAGTTCTTCAAACCTTGATCCATTTTTTAACACTGGCAGTGTTCTCTTACTATTTGACTTGGTCAGGGTCAAATATCTTAAATGGGGATTTGGAGTTAGATAGGAATTGTTTTTTCTCTGCTTCTTATTTTTTCGATTCCATTTTTCTTGAGCATTATTTTCAGTCCTTATGTTATCTTCTTCTAATAAAGAGCACACCATACATAAACGATCATCTTGTGTTCCTGGCTTTTCAACTGAACATGTTGAAAAGGTATGTACCAGTTTTTTACAATTAGAACATTTATTTGCACCAACTTTTGGAGGATTTCCTGAAAATGTTAAGGAATGAATAAAATAAAATTATTAAACAGAAATTTAAATCTCAAGCTGGGAATTGTATAATATTCTTAAAATTAATTTGTAAATACAATTGTATTATATTATATACAAAAACTATTATTTTTTTTTAAATAAGCTAAAACAACCATTTTATAATCAAAAAGATTCCTGTTTCTTAAGAGGATACCACACCTGCATGTGTTGTCTCCGTCTTACAAACGCCTAAAAGAGCAAATTTTCCGTTCTGGATAATTGATTTAGCTTTGTTATGATGATTATTGGAGCGAATTGATCAAATTTAGAAGTAAGAATATTAGAATATTATCCTCGTAGGGTTTTTTTTATATTTTAATTTTAAGACAAGTTATGAGTATTTTAAAACAGTGAATTGTTAATTGTAATTGTTTTTTACAATTTGTTATGTTATGCATTTCAAGACAAATTTGTGTTGTAATTTGGAGACTTGGAGACAAAACATTCGGGTCTTTTGAATTAACAGTATTAGTATTAACTGTTATGAAGTTAAACTATAAAACAATTGATGAATTAAACATTATATTGTATTAATTTTTACCTGTACTGCATAATGAACATTTGCTTTTTGGAATATATAACATATCATCAGAATTATAGTCTACTAATTCTTCTTCATCAGAAGACGACTTATGGTGACGATATATGGCATGGTCTTCGTCATCATTACATCTTATTGAAACTAGAGATTGCGTCGGTATTTTACTTAGAGTTGCATATTCTGCTGTTACTTCTAATTCTGGGTGTGAAATTAACTCTTCGTGGTTTTCTTCATCATTTGGAGATGATACCGGTGTGTGATATTTAGCTGCTCGCAACATAGATGAGCTTTTTAGAGACATTATATGATTCTCTAAAAATCTTTCTAAGTTTGTTGGCAAGTCTACGTGTTTTAATGTCACGGTCTTAAGTTTTTTAAAACTCGACTCAACAGCTGCTGAGCTTGATACCTCTTCTCCATAACCAAAAATTGGTACCATAACTCCCGACCATAATGGTAATAGCTTGGTACATTTTATTAAATGTGGAACTAAATTTGGTAAATATAATGGGTTAATTCCGGTTCCTTCTTTAATGAGCATTTTACTTTCATTGTAAATTTCATTAGTCCATGATTGAAATGGATTTTCAAATAACTCCAGCCCTTCATTCTGCCGTTCGTATTCATCTTCGATGATTTGTCTTGCATCATCCTCACATTCTATCATGGCGATTAATTCATCAAACTGAGTTTGAAAATCAATAAAACCCAATGATGTAGCTGAAATCAAATTTTGTCGATGTTTTTCACATGGAGTGTCTTCGCCATGAATATCAGTGCCGTCGGTTTCATTTGTAAAGACTACAAACAATGATAGAAAAATCGATCGCATTTCTATCAGTGACTGACTTTGAATTAAAAATCCCATTGCTCGAAGAATTACTTCTCGAACTCTTCGTGCAACAGATTTTAATGGTATCCATTTGCTAATAGTCTTTATAAAATGTGCAATATCTACTCGAACAAAGCATCTGGGAACCCAATGAGATTTCAATGGAACATCTCCATGTAGTAGACTTGCACATGCTCTAACATAATCTTGGAGGGTCGAGTACTGTGTAAAACATTTTACAATGGCGGATAAAAGGGCTAAAGATTGATCACACACTGTTTGTTTTGGAATAGGTATATCACTGCTTAACCAATTAAAAAGCCAATTAGAAATTGCAACGCTCGTATGTCGTTCGCTCAGCATATTTGTAGCTGTAAAACTATATTTTTTTTTATCGTCATAAACAAGACCTTCGTATAAAAAAATAGAATTAGTTTTCACAGCATTCAATTTTTTAAACGGTTTCACTACTGAACCGGTCGCATCAATTACTAGCTTTGGATATCTTACACTGCGGCAATATTGTCTGTAAATGTTAATTTGTTTAGAACAGAAGTAATGCACAAAAAATGGATTACATCCAATATCATGTAAAATATTATTATATTCCTCTTCTTTTGCCATGAGAACTAGGGATGTTAAAGTATCTACATGACGTCTTTCAGATGCTAATTTTCTACACTTTAAAGCCCGCAAGGAATTTCCACTTGGAATGATAGGTGGTTCACAATCACCTAAACATATTTAAAAATATAAAGTATAATTTATTATAAAATAAATTATTATTTTTGCTTTATACTTTATACTTTTATACTTTCTTAATATTATAAAAAAAAGCTAAGTTTAATACAAAAAAGGTGGGCAAGTGGATGTCGCTCTGCTGTACTGTAGGTTACAAGTGGGTCACTGTATAATGGATGGTATTAAATTTGAATTTAAAATTTTTCAACTTCTGTTCTATCAATATGTCAGAAACCTTGTATTAAATGTTCAGACTTTTTGTCACACAACTAAAAAATTTTGAAAACTGAAAGTGTCTATAAATAGCTCAAAACGAATCAAAATATTTTCAAAATTATATGGTATATAAGAAATTAGAATATAAACATGCAGTGAAATTATTCATTTTTGAATTACAACCAAATAAAAAAATCGCTACATGAGAAATCAAGAGAATATCCAGTGTTGCAAAATTATGAACTTCAAACTTCAAAATCTCTACCGGAAAGTCAAATTAAATTTTTATGAGCGTTTAAAGATCATAATTTTACAATATTGGATATTTACTCGGTTTCTCATGTAGCGATTTTCTTAATTTGTTGTAATTCAAAAACGAATAACTCTAAATACATGAAAACTTCACAGAATGTTTTGTATACACCATACAATTTTGAAAATATTTTGACTCTTTTTGAGCTGTTTACGGACATTTACAGTTTTAAATTTTTTTAGTTTTTTTTTCTATAAATATCAATAAAGTTTTATCTGTTGTGCCAAAAAGTGTAAAAATTTAATACAAGACTACTGATATATTTTTACAATAGTAGTTGAAAAATATTAAAAATACATAGGCACGGTTTTTTTTTTTATAAGCATTTAAAGATCAAATTTTGACAAAATGTATCGAATTTAAAGTTGAATAATTATTTTGTAGTAAAAAATTTATAAAATGTTCAACTTTTATATCTAAGGATTGAAAATTTAAAACAATATTCCATGTAAGTCGTTAATTCTGTTACCAAAAAATCTAAAAAATACACAATCACAATTTATTTTTATAGTAATTTTAAGTTCAAATTTGGACGAAATTACATAAAAACCTAGAATAACTATTTTAGTTATTTTGTTGTGATTGTATAATATTATTCGTGGGTACTTGAAACTTCTAAAGTGTACTATTATATATCTATGATAGTATCACGGTTTGTTTGTTTTTGGATATTGTGATATGATTAATTTCGGAATTTAGTATAATATTAATATGTAGCTATTATAGGTCAATATTTTTTTTTAATACTATAGATATGTATATAATATGTCTTAAACCTATACTGACATACCGTCTCCACTCAAAATCGTTTTTTTTATACAATGATATTATATCATTGAATTCAAATTTAATACCATCCATTATACAGTGACCAACTTGTAACCTACAGTACAGCAGAGCGACATCCACTTGCCCACCTTTTTCTTAATTTGTTATTATCACGGCACTTTTTAAAACTACTGGAAAATTTTTACTTTTGACCACCTAAAGTATCGACTAGACTTTGCTATCGGAAAATATACAGTTGAAGAAAATTCAAGCATTTTACTATCCTAAAAAGTTATGACACTTAGTGACAGAATACAAAAAAAAAACACACATAATCTAAAATTTTAATTTTCATAACCTTTATTGTTGAAGCAATTATAAAATAATAAAATATATAAATACTATATATAATTAACTCTTTAAGTTGTTTGGTATTAATGAATAAAGTAGTTATTTTTTTTTACTCACCCATTTTCATTAAACGAGCAGCTTCTCGTTCCCTAGTGGTTTCACATGATATGCCTTCCTTAACAACGGATGTTGTGTATTTACTTATCGTAGGTCCTAACAATCGTCGCTTTCGTGAAATTTTATGTTCATCGTTATAATTACCAGTGTAAATACAGTTCATTAGCACTCTAAAATGATCAATATTTACCAACATTAGAAATTTAACATTAATAGGTAAATTTTTTTTTTGATAACAGAATATTACCTAGAATTGTCTGATGGTCTTTCAGCTATAGTTCCTTTAAAATGTGATTTGCAGACAGTGCATCGTGCAACAACTACTACGTAGTTATAACCATCAGGAGTTACTTTTGCTCTTTTGAACGACAAACAACATGGTAAACTAGTATGTTCCCAAAAATGTTCAGCCATAATAGGAGTCCAATTAGATTTTGGCAAAACATAATACAATCTAAAATAAACAATTGACTTAGAATTCAATTAAACTCAAATTAAAATTTTTATAACCTGGTGTTTTGCATAGGTCTTGTTTTGTCAATCATTTTATAATTCATTTCTTGTGGCTGAATTGTTTTCCATTCATCTACCGAAAAAGTAAAAACAAACTTTTTTGATGGCATTTCAGACTGGTCGCTACTATCGCTGCTAGTAATATCATTTACTGTAAATTCATATAAACTAACAATATTATCGTAATATTTTATGTATTTCTAATATTAAAATTGTATGAATAATACGTAACTCATTATCTGAATATTATCTATTACGATGTATATTCCCATATGCTTTACTTACTTGCTTCATTTGAGACTTGACGTGGTATATTTATTTCTGAAATAGATTTTGGAGTAGAAAATCCTAGTTTTTCCTTAACAGAGTATCTTCCTTCAAACACAAATGTGTATATAGCCTTTCCAGACATACGGTTATCAAGCTGTTCACTTATTTCATTCCAAACGCAATTACTAGCAAACACGATTTCTAAGAAATAAATCAATATAATGTGTAACATAATACAAGTAAATATCAAATATTTCTAATGGTATACTTATTTTACTATTTAAAATCATATGCCTTCGAGTGGTTATTATTTTATTAAACTTGACATCCATAGACCATAAGACATATTTATCACTAGGGCTAGGATAGTATAGGATTTTGCATTTTTTTTTAGGATTTACAGGACATAGCTTTTCAAGCACAAAATGTGATTTGGTCATATACGAGTCCAAATTTATAGTTTTTATTTTGCTTTTTTTTGCATTTTTTGTACTTTTAAGGATTTAGGGTCATTTTTTTATCATTTTTAGGTCATTTTTTCAATTTTACTGGCATTTTTTATACTTTTTTGAAATCTAGGTAATATTTTTATACATTTTCATTTACACTAGATGTTCTCGATAAAAGTTTTGAATTTGTAACAGAAATAATATCATATTCAATATTTCAATTATAGAGATAGTATATAGAATAATCTTCGATACCTCGAGTTATCTTAATCGTTAAATTAAATGACAGTGATGTGGAGAGTACAGTGTGTAGTAGTGTGTTAAGTAAAATATCAAAAATAATTGATGGAAATGAATCAGACACGGCTCATTTCCCTGATGAGTTCAATATCGACGATATCACGTACATGGAATTTGCTCCGATTACTTCTGTGGGTGTGGAAAGAAGTTTTTCATGCTACAAAACATCGCTAGCAGATAATCGGCGGTCATTTGTATTTGAAAATTTGAAGGAGCTACTGATTGTCCAATGCAACAATACAATTTAAACGTAATTTTCAGAATAAAAAAAATATATGTATATATTTTTTATTTTATAGTATTTTTGTTGTTTTTTTTTCAGAAAATTTTAAGCTGGCCGTTGCATGATAAGTCCAAACTTCAAACTTTATTATTCATATCAAGAAAATCCTAAATTAACATTTTTTTTGCTATTTTTTTGTAATATTATAATTTAAATAATTTTTTACCGAAATATTAATTAATAATTATAATGCATTTTTATAACATTTTAAAATCATTTTTTATCTTTTGGGCATTTTTTAAGGTCATTTTTAGGTTATTTTAATGTCATTTTTTTAGGTTTTTTGGGTCATTAAAATCCTAGCCCTATTTATCACCCTTAAGAGGCCGTCACACCGAAAGCGAAAAGTATACAACGACCGAGAGAACGCGCTGTTCGGTGTTTTCGCGGTGCGCAAGCACTCGAGGGTTTAGTTGCGCCCACTCCTCGTCGTCGGCGGCCGGCCAACGATTGTGCTCCTTCGGGAGCGACGTTTATTATTTTCTCAACCTTCGTCTATGGTGGATCGCGTAAATAATATAAAATGCATACACGTTACACGTACATTATGTCGCATTGCCACCGTAATATTTTAAATATTCGCACGTATTTAAGCGACCTGTATTTATTGCATTTTTAAATACTTACTCAATAAAAAAATAAATACAATACACTAGTACAGACAGTACAGTAAATAATATCTAATTTATAACAGCAAAACAATAAAACTTCAGCCATTCGTAAAATTTTTAAACGGAATTACCCTCATATTTTTTTTAATAATTATTTTAAACAGAATTTATGGAAATCTTGAATTCAATTTTAAAATCTTAGCTATATTACAAGGCTGGGCATTAACGAGTTAATAAGTTAAAGTTAAGTTAATAAGTTAAGTTAATTTAACTTTTTAACTTAATAATTTAATTTTTTTTATGATTATTAACTTAATTATTAACTTAAGGAATTTTTAAATTAACTTTAAATTAACTTGAGTTAATTTTACATTTAAACAAGTTAAGTTGATTTCAATTTTAATTACTATTATAGAATATGTTTTCATATTCGTATAAAATATAAATACCTATAATATTATTTAATAACGAATATTATCAATGCCCGTTATTTTTCGCCATCGTCGCCAGTTATATTCCTATCAGTGGCGTGGCGTGGGTATTAAAAAGATGTAAGCAGTGAATTTTTTTTTTCAAAAGTGATTAGAATATAGGTACTATACCTAAATACCTAATTATAAATTATGTATAAAAAAATGTTATCCTTTTAAAATTTTTAATATTTTTAAAAATATACTAGTTGTACAAATCAAATTAGAGAAAATAAAGAAATTGAAGTATAAATACTTCAAAAGTCTATTAGGCGAATGACAGTGACAGTGTACCTAAAAACGACTTCAGTCTACTACGCGTCGGGCTACGTACTGGTCGCTTCTTGTTTCTTGCGTAAGCAAAATCAAATGTGCTTACAAACGCTAGTTAAATACGTGACCCCCACTATGGCATTATAGACTATTCGAAAACAACAGTTGCGCGTAAGCAATTTCAGAATGTGTTACACTGTATATCGTATTATGATTATGCAGTTAACATAATACAGAATGGATTAAAAATAGACCTACAATCGATGATTTTCTTAAAATAGTTGGTAATCAGTAGACAGCGTACGACACAAATAAACAATAACAAAAACCACTACCAGCTATAACTTAAATATTTTATAAATAAAATTAAAATTTTAAAAATCATTTATTATGTACCTATTAGTCGTGTTTGATCAAATTTATTTTTTCTTTCATTTAAAGTGTAAGCAGTGCTTACAGTGCTTACATGCACGCATCACAACAATCTTTCCACTGCGTATTGGTACCATAACATACAGCTAAACCCCCCTTCACTCGTTGTTTATTTAGAATAAAATAATTTATTATTATTGTATTTATTTATATAGCCTCAGAACTCAGTATATTCACTGCATTGACCTGGTCTATATTAATAACTTACTTTGCTTACTAATCTAGTAATCTACTATAAATTACAATATTACCAATGTACCTAAATACCTAATGTAAAACATTTATAAATTACCTACTGTCTACAATACGCGGATATTTCATTCATAGATTTATTTTGCTAAAATCTGTGGCGTCCAATCTTCTTAATATGTTATACACAGAATAAAGAATTTATTTTAAAATATTAATAAACATGAATTATAGTTTGAGTACCTAGTGGTAAAAACTAACATTTTTTAATCCTAGCGCAATAGAAATAAATATATTATTATTTAAAATAAAACTTTGTAAGAACATTTTAATTTAAAAATGCTCTGATTAATTAATCAATTGCAAATATTCAATCGATAAAATTTAAGACAAATTACCTAAACCTACATGAAAATGTGTTTCTTAATCTAATAATCTCAATAATGTACTTACTTTTTTCATCGTTTTCATCAATTCGCACGATTCGGTCCTTAAATTGTAATACAACTTCTATCACCTTAGTTGGTGCCACAGCAGGTTTTCTTCCACTCATTATTATATCAATATTTTAAAAATAGTAAAAGAATTTAGCAAATTAACTGAATTAAAATATCAACAAGCAAACGAAAAGGACACTCCTCGACCACGTCGCACGTAATAGGTTAGGTAATAGCGAATGATGAATGTCTATGAATCTCGGTAATTTTATTTTATTTTGACAAAATGATCAAAAATAAGTAAACACTAATATTATTATCGACTATTAATAAATTATATGGCTATTCCATTTTAAGAACGAACCTATCGGCTGAACGAAACTAGCTTGTACGCGCACCCCCACCTCCAATAGTAACCACCGCTGGTCAGTCGCTACGAAAATATAGCTGTGTCTACATAGTGATTTGTATTATCACACTGACACACTGTCACTGATTTGATTCTACTTACGTGCGTAGGTATACGTTTATTCTAGCGATTATCATACATAAACCGTATAATATTTCCTTTGCGAATTATTAACTTGTTTGTTTGTAACTACATTTTGTTATGGTTTAATAACCGGTCAAAACCTATATGTTTTTATGATTCTCTATATACACGGCGGCAGCACCGGTGCCGAAAACCAACGACTGTTGGCCAATAACAGAACGAATATCCATCGTCTGGATATTCAGAAAGTGATCGGCGGCTCAGTCTATGTGCCTAAGAGCGGTTCATTCTTATGGAACAGAATAGAGAATAGTGGAGTTTAATATTGTTAAAATAGGTTTGAAAAATGTAGAACAAGCTAAATATTATATTAATAGAATAAATTTATTAAATACAAATTACAAATAGCCACAAAATGTTGTTATAAAATACCTAATTTACCTATATATATTATATTTACTACCTATCAAATAATAGCCACCGATAACATTTGGAGGGGGCTACTTGGGCATTTGTATTAGTCATTTACAACAACCATAGGTCGGCATATTTAAAAATTATAAAAAGTCTTATTTTAACTCGTTAAGGTCATTGTAATAAATCATAATATTGATATTTTGATAAATAATAACTGATAACCGAATACCGCTGTGTCAAAGTGGAGAAGTTGATACTTACGCTTAGCGCTCATAAATTTAAATTTTAGACACTGTTACACTGGCACTCTGCAAAGTGGTTACTTTATACAAGTAAGAATTATTATGCTATATGAATGTGGGTGAAAAAAATGTTGAGTCGGTGAATCTGTTGTATGTTACCCTAGTCTAACAAAAACTGAAATTACGACAATAATATTTCATATTATCATATTTTATCGAATTATCATAAAAAAATTCCAATAATAATTCTACTATAATATTCTACTAAAGGTATAGAAGCGGTTTAAAAGTATTGTATATATAACAGTACAAGAACAAGGCATAGGGACAAATTATTAAATTAACTTGATAAACAAATATTTAAGACTGAATAACCTTTTTTTTTTTTTTTTTTTTTTTTTCCTGTTTGAATCGCATGCCAGGGAGGGAACTAGGTTTCCCCATTGCTGCCTCCCTGGGTGCATCATTTATTAATGAAGATCACACAATACAATAAATGAACTAGACAAATATTTAATTTAACAAATATGGGGGCCTCTAACCACCCTGAAGTGGCCTACAGTAAAGTTCAGCCTACAATATACAGTGCTTAACTAATTTATAATTATATATCTGCACGCTGCCGTTCTCTTTCCATTTCCTCCTTGCAGCCCATGATGTCTTCTACCATATGGATGAACAATTCCCTCCTTCTGGTGGCTGCCAAAAAGATTCTCCTCCTGGTTGGCAGGTCCTCTGGCAGCTCTGCCGGAACCGGCCCGCAAAGCACGTTCATTACATCGTCACGACGAACAGGTCTTCCCAGTTATTCAAGACTGAATAACCTAACCTAACCTAACCTAACCTAACTTTATTTTTTATAAATTCCGTGGTTTGCTGCAAAAATCGGCAGGAATCGAGCACTAAAAATTGGCGCAAAAAAAATTGCAAAAAGTCAAATTTTGAAGGTAGGTGGGGCTGGGGTAACGTTACCCCAGCCCCAAACGTGGAAAATTCGACTTTCCGGGAAAACCGTTGGAGCAGGAATTCCGGGGTTTGCGGCAGGAATTGGCAGGAATTGAGCACTAAACATTGGCGTTGGAAAAAGTTAAAAAGGTCGAATTCCGACTTTGGGGGGTTGGAAAAACGTTTCCCCCGCCGCAAATATAGTTTTTTAATTTTTACGGGGGCGGTTTTTGAGCAGGAATTCCGTGGTTTGCGGCAAAAATCGGCAGGAATCGAGCACTAAAAATTGGCGCAAAAAAAATTGCAAAAAGTCAAATTTTGAAGGTGGGTGGGGCTGGGGTAACGTTACCCCAGCCCCACCCGTGGAAAATTCGACTTTCCGGGAAAACCGTTAGAGCAGGAATTCCGGGGTTTGTGGCAGGAATTGGCAGGAATCGAGCACTAAAAATTGGCGCAAAAAAAATTGCAAAAAGTCAAATTTAGAAGGTGGGTGGGGCTGGAGTAACGTTACCCCAGCCCCACCCGTGGAAAATTCGACTTTCCGGGAAAACCGTTAGAGCAGGAATTCCGGGGTTTGCGGCAGGAATTGGCAGGAATTGAGCACTAAACATTGGCGTTGGAAAAAGTTAAAAAGGTCGAATTCCGACCTTGGGGGGTTGGAAAAACGTTTCCCCCCGCCGCAAATATAGTTTTTTAATTTTTAGGGAGGCGGTTTTTGAGCAGGAATTCCGTGGTTTGCGGCAAAAATCGGCAGGAATCGAGCACTAAAAATTGGCGCAAAAAAAATTGCAAAAAGTCAAATTTTGAAGGTGGGTGGGGCTGGAGTAACGTTACCCCAGCCCCACCCGTGGAAAATTCGACTTTCCGGGAAAACCGTTAGAGCAGGAATTCCGGGGTTTGCGGCAGGAATTGGCAGGCATTGAGCACTAAACATTGGCGTTGGAAAAAGTTAAAAAGGTCGAATTCCGACCTTGGGGGGTTGGAAAAACGTTTCCCCCGCCACAAATATAGTTTTTTAATTTTTACGGGGGTGGTTTTTGAGCAGGAATTCCGGGATTTGCGGCAGGAATTGGCAGGAATCGAGCACTAAAAATTGGCGCAAAAAAAATTGCAAAAAGTCAAATTTAGAAGGTGGGTGGGGCTGGAGTAACGTTACCCCAGCCCCACCCGTGGAAAATTCGACTTTCCGGGAAAACCGTTAGAGCAGGAATTCCGGGGTTTGCGGCAGGAATTAGCAGGAATTGAGCACTAAAAATTGGTGCAAAGAAAATTGCAAAAATCAAATTGGGGGGGGCCGGGGTAACGTACGTTATATTATTACTATTATCGGGTTGCGTGCCCTCTGCAGCATTTATATCTGTTATTGAATGTAATATATTATATTATAAGCGTATTATACTTAATACAGCATAATATAATATAATATTTTATATATTATTACTATTATAATATGTACGTAGTCACAGCCCGTTACAGGTATATGAGATTAAATTATCGTACGAGGTACGATAAGTACCTACTTCAGGTCACCTATAAGTTATTACTTAAATTTACTGAAAAATCTATTTCACCGTAAATCGTAATGAATATTTTATTATTTTACATGTATCTACCTATTTCAAAAAGTAATTAGGTTATAATTGTATAAATCGAGTTATGTTGTATATGATTGAGTCGGGTTTGTACGAACTACGCTTTGTTTATTAGTCGAAATATTTCATCAAATAACTACTACATAAGCTTTAATTAATAAATAAATTGCGAATTGTCATTGTGGGTTAGAAGCAAGCGCGCCGCGTGCCAGTACATGAGAAAATATAAGTAATACAATTTACGCACGCAGGTACGTAATGGTCAACTGCATTGACATCTGACGCGAAACCGTTCAGACCGTTCGTGAAATAATAATGTACCTCTCCCGCGATTACGAAGCGCAGACCCAGTCGAGTAGACGATGGGCGTGGTTACGGCCTGCCGCGACGGCCGCGGCGGCGAGATGGCGCACAACGCCATCTCTTGAGCGTTGCATAAGTTTAACTTTTACCACGACGGCCTCTTAAGTGAGAGGTGTAGACAAAGTATGTGGTTCCTTCAGAGGCGGTTGCTGTGGTCTGTGATACTATTGGATAAAACCGTAATAAAGTGTTATATATTAATTATTGTATGTTGTGTTTAATAGTGCATTTTAGAAGTGATCGGTGTATAATGTATAATTGCATTAAACACATATTATGCATAAATCCAATTTTTTACTTACTCTAACATTGTCAATTTTGAAAATAGAAAAAAACTGTAACTTAAAAAAAAATACTCTACCTGAATCTGCAGAAGAAAACTGGGGTCGCCTTTTAAAAAAAAGTAAGTTGTATTGCGCATGCGCGTACCGAGTGAGCTAAAAATTTGAAACTGGTCTGAAAATATGTATTTAAGTGCTCCCTATCACCTCCCGAAAACACCAGTTCAATACAAGGTCATGCACCTGAGATATTTAGTGTTACCATAAATCGTGATCACACTGTATATATATAATCAAAATTCCTCATCATGGGTGTGAAAGGTGCAATGCACACTGGCCTGAAAAAACCAAAACATACAATTTAAAATTGCCCTTTTCAAATGTTAAAATTTATAAAAATGTAACTTATAATAATATTTAAATCAGTTACTTTAATAGCACGGTATAACTACCAACTTTTTTATAAGAAAAGTCGTATGACCTTTTTTTAAAATTATTTTAATATTACATTAGTAGCGTAGGTAACGTTGACAAACCTATAATGATATTAATTAGCTGGGATGGTGAATGAAAAAGTATCAACTAATAAAAAACTTAAACTTCCTTATTATATTTTAATAATATCGATCATAATAATATGGCGCCTCAAAATAAATCCTTGCACACGGATTTAACAAGAGATAATAGTTGCATACTTGCATTTTACACAAATTATTATCATTAAACGAACCACACATTATAAAAACAATGAAAGTACCGACACTTTCTGTCATTCAATTTTAT